GTGGGACTGAGCCCCTTATCTGTGGAATCTGATGCTGTCTCCAGGTAGATAGTGTCAGAATTGAGTTGAATTGTAGAACACCCAGCTGGCGTCACAAGAATTTCTTGTTGGTGTGGGGACCACCCCCCCCCCCCCCCCCCCCCCGCTCCCAAAAATACATACACATTGGAATTGGTACCAGAACCTATTTACAAAACTGTAAAAGATAAATGTCTTAGCTTGGGTTACCATAATGAGATACCATAAAGCAGATGACTTAAACAACAGAAATTTATTTTCTTACAGTTCCGGGGGCTGGAAGTCTGAGATCTGGTCAGGTTCTGGTGAGGACTCTCTTCCTCGCTTACATAAGGTCCGCTTTTCACTGTGTCCTCAGACGGCAGGGTGTGTATATGTGTGTGACGAAACAGACAGAGGTATCTCTTTAGCTTCTTAGGCGGCCACAGTCCTATCCGATTCGGGTCCCACCATTATGACCTCATTTTAACCTTCCTTCCTAAGACCTTGTCTCTGGATATGGCAACATTGGGGTTTAAGGCTGCAACATAAATTTTGGGGCAACACAGTTCGATCCACAGCAATTAGCTGATCATTTCCATTCTTCCTTACTTGACCCTCTTGCTCTTTTTCTAGCTTCTTCATTTCCTTTTAATCTTTCTTCCTTTTGGATAAGTATATTGAAGATACAATCTTTCTTATAAGTATTGCTGAATTCCACCCACCAGATTTTGTCATGTAGTGCTTTCAGCTCTAAGTATTTCCTGATTTCCCATGTGAGATCCTTTTCAATGCACGGTCCTGTAAAGTTCATAGCCATTATTATTATTTTTTAACCTTTTGCTCCTTTTATAAGTATATAATGTTCATTTTTGTCACCACGTTGCTTTTGGTTGGAGCTTTACCTCCGGATTTCTATAGATATACCTTTTTATTGACAGGTAAAAGACAAAATGGGGAAATATATTTGCTGTATATGAGACAAAGGTTCTGTCTGTACTGCTGGGACAATGTAGACTTCTAATCCATCATTCATCCACCTCTGTGAAAGGGAATTCTAATATTGGCTTGTGGAAGTCATTTTGGTCCAGAGCAGAGGAAATTCATAATATGTATGTTTTCAACAGTCAGACAGTCTAGGTTGTGTTGTATTCACAAACCAACCGTCCACGTCTCAGGAGCTGAGAACAAGCAAGGTGTATTTTTTGTTCATGTTACAAGTGATCAGGGGCTGGCTCTTTACTGTCCTTGCTCAGTGTGGAGGATTGAGTAGATGGCAGCTAAGATGGGCTCAAGCCCCCTCTTGCACAATTGCCAGGCAGGAAAAACATTCCCACCGGTAAATGTCCCGCTGTGTTTCAAACCTTCTTCCTGCAAGAGACAATCTCACTTCCTCTTGTTTCATTAGCCAGCAGGGCACAGAGTCACACCTAACTTCAAGGGGCCAAGAAAACACATGCCTCCCGTGGGCCACAGGAGAGCCGACAGTATTTGCTGAACGGCAGTGATGGCAGCTATACACTTATCCGCCCCATTTATTGCCTTTTCCAAAGCTGACTGCTGCTTTTTGTTTGTTGTTGATTTTTTAAAAATTCCCTCAGTTACGTGAGTTATATACATCCTTCTAGTAAATTTCTTTAATAAAAAACCGAACCAAACCGAAGTTGGTCAGAGTTAGTTTCTATTGCTTAAAGAAACCCAAAAAACTATCGAAAGCTTTGGACTTGGCTTTATCAATGCAACTGAGCAGCTTAGGAAAGTGAACTTCAGCTGACACATTCCGCTGGTTTTGAAGAAAGGGCACACACATATTTTTCACGGATAAGGTTTTAATAAGAAAAGAAGACCGGCAAGGATGAGCCAATATTTAGATCCAAACAATTATTGGTAGCCACCACATGTCAGGCAGGGAGCCAGGTATTTTTGCATATGCTCTGTAAGTCAATTTGATTCTTTATAAAAACAATTTGGGGTGAGTCTTATTGTCCATAATTTATATATGCAGAAGATGAGGCTCAGGGAGGTGAAATGACCTGTCCGAGAGAGCCACTTAGCTAGCAAATGACAGCTTTGTTTTAATTCTATTGTCTGACCATATGGAGATGAAACAATGATGCAGCGTGCACGTTTGAATGGTGGGTACTGTTTGGTTTGGCAATGTGACTGTGAGACACATAAAAGGTGGAAGGGCACCCTAGCGCAAAGGTAAAGAGGTTGGAGTCTGTGAGTTCGGAGGCAGTGAGAGGAAGGGTACAGAGTCACTGAGGGCATTTGTAGAGCTCTGTCTCAGAAATACTGTGCCCTAGGATGAATAGAAACAGGTACGTGAGGCTTAAGGGAGGCCTTGAGAGCAGTTGGAGGAATATTGCAAAAACTCAGATAGGCCTTAATGAGCATGGGTGTTGGCAGTGGAAACAGAAAAAAAAAAAAAAAAAAAAAAAATTCTATCTGGTCTCCAGATCCACTGGGATTTGCTGAACGAAGTCTGGGTCCTCCCTATGTAGATAGCTCCTGCTTTTTATTGTAGGTTTCTCAAGAATTCACTTCCAGAAAAAGCCTGGATCAAGAGTAGAAAAAAATAGACAACTGACTAAGTGAGAAATCTACAAAGCTCCTCTGGTCCCCAAATCACCTCTTTGACATCAGTTGTGGGGCTGACACCTTACCAGTGGGGCTCCATTTTTTCAAGAGTCTTTTATTAAAGTGTGACTATTTGGGGACAAGAGGGAGAAGGGATTCCTGGAAATTTCCTCCTTAGCATCGTCCAGGCAAGTAACATAAATACAGGGGGACAATCTGGGTGCCCCATGAAGAATACGGCATACGTGCTCCACCTAAAGGAGGCTTCTCAGCTCTGGCTGAGGGGCCCAAATCTGCTGGATCTGTTATTTCAACAGAAACCTCATCTCCAGATTTTTTTTTTTTTTTTGCTGGAAAGCCCTTAATATTTAAGTACTGCAACTAGCTGAAATTTCTTCATATTACTGTGCCGGCCTCATTCGGCTTTGCCGGTCACCACCTCTGGGTTAAATTTTAACACAGTTTTATCAAAGCCTTGCCAAATGTGAAAAAGCACATCTTGAGTAAAACTAGATACAGAGAAGGTTTATTTGGATTGCTGAGAGGGTAGATGGAAAAGTTTGGGCACTTGGACTACAGGGTGGCCTGGGCCACATGTTGAGTATCCTGGTGCCTGGACCTGCAAAGGGAGATGGGGCACGGCAGCGGCAATATTTGCTGCCACTGGGGCCTCCTGGCTGACCACCCAGAGCTGGCCTTGGAGTGGGAAGAGAGATGGGCCAAGCTCATGGTTTCTCCCAGCTCTAGCTGGCCCCTTCCCATTAACATTACAGTAATGCAGTCGTGTGGTGTTTGAGAAAAGCATCTCAAGTTACACGGAATGATTTACAGGACACCAGACTCTGCATTTCAGAGGTCTCCAGTGTACCGTAAAAAATATATTATAAAGGAATAATCTTTATCTGAACTAAAGCTTCAGTGAAGGAAACTCGTGTCCAGCTGAGAGCAGCAGTGAGCTTTGGTTCACTCAGGGAAAAGTCTGTGTTCTTCATCTTATTTGATTAACATTTGCTTCACCTCTTTGGCACTAGGTATCTAGTTAATATTTAGACATTATATACTTTTTCTTTCAGCTGTTGTTCCTGTTATATGATCAAACAAAACCGGAGATGCCAAACACATCTGTGAAAACAGACAGACCCGCCAGGCACCCAGCTGTGGCTGGCAGGGTAAATGGGGTAAATGGGACTCAGCGAGCCAGCCCCTGGTAGATACTGGCCCTGGGTGGGTGCAGGGGCAGCCCCTGTCCCCAGCAAGCAGAGTTGATTGCTCTGCCTCTCCCTCCCGTTGCAGACTCCCAATTCCCCCACTTCCAAGAAGCAAGGCTCGAGTTTCGAATCTCCCAAATCCTTCTGATGTTTACCATTACCTCCCCAGGAGAGGGAGGTGAGGGATGGAAATCTGCTGAAAAGAATGCACTTAAAAAAAAAAAATCAGTGAAGCGATGCACAGACACCCTGCAACGCAACTTGTCTCTGCTTCTTAGATATTTAGAGCGATGACGGTCTCAGTCGGTTTCAGTCCAGGGAAATCTAACTCCTTTCGCGGCAACGCCCCCAAGGGCCGCAGGTGTACCTCTGGTTAAGGGTGTAGAGAAAGGGACAGCCTCATTTTTCGGGGCAGAAAGCGCAGTCCCCCGGTGGCGGGACAGAG